CGCAGGCGGGCCCGCCACGCCGCTGTCGCCCACGCGCCTGTCGCGGCTGCAGGAGAAGGAGGAGCTGCGCGAGCTCAATGACCGCCTGGCGCACTACATCGACCGTGTCCGCGCGCTCGAGCTCGAGAACGACCGGCTCCTGCTCAAGATCTCCGAGAGGGAGGAGGTGACCACGCGCGAGGTGGGCGCGCAGCCGGGGCTCCGGCCTCTGAGGGTCCCCGGGGGCTCCCGTGCGCGAGAGGTGACACTGGGCAGGCCCCGCCCACCGGGGGGGTCCCCGGCGTTTCGGGGGGCCCTAGGGGCGCACGCTGGGGTGGGCCTCGGCCTCTGACTCTACCCGGGGGGTTTCGGGGACCTCCCGTGGGTGAGGTTTGGAAGCCGGGCGGGCCCTGCCCACCTAGGGGATCCTCAGGGAATCTCGGGGGGCTCCAGGCGAGGGGTGCACACTGGGGCAGGCCCCGCCCACCGAGGAGTCCGAGGGATTTTTCGGGCGACCTGTGAGAGCGGGGCGCACACTGGAGCAGGCCCCGCCCACCGAAGGTTCCCCAGGGTTTTTCGGGGGACCTGTGAACGAGGGGTGCACACTGGGACAAGCCCCGCCCGCCGAGGGGCCCGCAGGGGGTTTCGTGTATCCACTGAGTGAGGAGTGCAGTCTGGGGTACACCCGTCCTCTGAGGGATCCCCAAAGGATCTCGGGGCCCCCTGTGCGACTGGTGGAGATGGGGCAGGGTCGAGCCCTGAGTGGTTAGAGGCGATCTGGGGATCCCCTGGCTGAGCGGGTGTGAGCCAGAGTAAGCCCCGCCCCTAAGAGAGGTGGGGAGTCTCGGGGATGCGTTAGGATGTTCTGGCGTCCTGGGAGGAAATTTGGTGGGGTTCTCTGGTCTCGGAGGAGACCGGGAGTTCAAGCTGTGTAGAGGGTCTCATGGTGGGGGGGGGGGGTCTCTGGGGGAAGTCACGTGCTCTGTTCTGTGTGGAACTCTGCAAAGGTCCTATGATGAATTCTGGGGAGTTGAGGGACTGGGGAGGTGGTTTGGCTCCCGTCTCCTACCCGCACCTGGGGTGGGTGGGCATCCGAGGGGAGGGGGTCTGATGCCTCAGGGGACCCATGGGAAATATGAGAGGTCCTCAGGTGGGCCTTGGGGCCCCCGTTGGCTGATGGACTGGAGCCTGGTAGGTGATGGGGAGACATCCGGTCTTGGGGATCCAGTGGGAAGTTTTGGTTTCCACGTGGGTCTCAGGGCTTCACCGCAGACTGAGGGAGAGGGGCTGGGTAAGCCCCGCCCCCAAAGGGCAAGTGAGGGCTGGGTGTCCTGGGTGGGTCCTTTCCTTGGTTGGGGACTGTGGCTCCAACCCAACCCTCCCCCAGTCCCCACGGGCCCCAGGCTCTTTTCTTACTTAGCTGGACCCTGCTGGCCCCTTGAAGCCCAAGTGTGGTTCCTCTGAATAAGGGTGGGGGGTGGGGGAGTGCTCACCCTGTGGTTCCCCCTGAGGGCCCGTAGGAGAGCCAGGCCCTGAAGCCAGAATGTGCTTGAGCCTAGGCTTCCCTATCCTGACCGTGGACCAAGTGACAGACTTGGGGGAGAGCCCCTGGGGGGTCATTTCGGGGAGCCACGTACCCTTTGTGTGACCCTGGGCAAGTCAAACTCTGTGGGCCTCAGTGCTTCTTTTGTAAAATGGAAATAACAAGGCCCCCCTTTTGTGCTAGCTGGCGGGGCGTGTGTGTTAATATGTGTTTTGTAGAATAAAGGACAGGCGCCCCGAGGAAGTAGTCCGTGGGTTCTGTCGCCCCTGTTTCATGGTTGCCAGGACAGGCAATGGCTCAGAAAGTGGCTTGGGTGATGATGGGGAGGAAGTTTCCTTGGTAGGTGGCACTATGTTGCTCGGATGCAAACTGCTTTTAGTCTGTGTGACCTTGGGCAGGTTTTGTCATTAAGACAACGGGGCTAGAATTGTCTGCCCTCGAGGTGGCCCCCTGATGTCCTCAGGATGTGGGCCCAGTTCCTGCCTGCTGGGTTGGGCAGTGTGTGCCAGTGGCGCTGGCTGGGTGGTGTACCTAGAGCCCATGAGGAGTGCCTGGGGAACCCGACCCGCCGGCTGTCTGGGGAGCAGCATTATTCCCTTCTCAGCTGGTGAGGCCTCCTGGAACCCAGATGAGCTCAGGGAACAAAGGAAGTCTTGCTGTGGGTCATACACCCGCCCCACTGTGAGCTCAGGGGCTGTGCAGGGGCTCTAGGTGTCGCCCCGGGCTGAGGGCCGTGCTCCCAGCTGGAGCTGGGGAGTTGCCACCAGCTTGTTCTCCCGGAGCCTCCACCTGCCCGTGGGGCCAGGTGATAAATGCCCCTTGGAACTGGGCAGTGGAGGGAGCTGGTGACCTACGGAGGGAGGGGATGCTGGAGCAGGGAGCGCGGGGTGGTCACGTGAGCTCTTTAGAGGGAGTGACCTGGAAATGGCCTTGGCTGCAGGGGGGCCCAGGCTTGCCGGGCTCTGGAGAGGTGGGTGGGCAGAAGTGGGAAGGGGGCCGGGAAGGTGGCTCCAGTAGGAGGGATGTGTGCGCTTTACTTGACAGCAGCTCCTTGCCGCCATGGAGGCTGCCCCCAGGGACATTAGTGGTCATCAGGCTGGGGGTGCTCCTGGCATCAGGTGGTGCTCAGGATGGCCCCACCCCCGAGGATGTTCCAGCCCCAAATGCCATTAGGAGAAGCCACTTCAGGAACCCTTTGAAGATGTCTTTTAAAATGTTATAAGCGTGGGGCGCCT